CGGTTTAATCTTTCCTTTTTCGCCTTGATTTGTGCTTATCGGAAATCTTCCATTTATCTCGATCTTTCCATTTTTCTGCGGAAAACTTCAATGTAATTTCAATCTTGACATATATCTTTCCCTGCAAATAATAGGTAAATCATCATTGTATCTTTGGGCTGGATCCTATCTAAAGTCGCCAGTGGGCTTTTATCGTGTTTTAGGATCTTTTGAGTCGTTTTACAACTTAGCCGTTTTACGACTTTTGACAAGATCGTTTCCTGATACGACGACGTTTTTAAGTAAACATCTTGAGTTAATCGTATAGTTTGGCAATATTTGTTGTTTCGTTCAACCGTTGCCGTTTTATACAATTTACTCGAGGTTTTCCTAAGAACGCGTGTTTTACGATTTTTATAAAAGATCTCGAGTTAATCGTATATTTTGGCGATGTTCGGTGTTTCGTTTAACTGTTGCCGTTTTATACGATTTACTCTAGGTTTTACTAAAAACAAGTCTTTTATGGTTTTTATCGTAAAACTTAAACGGTAGGGCGGATTGAGACAAAACGAAGGACGTTCCGATCATGGGCGAGCTGGTCACTGGTGTTGTCAGCTCACCCAAGGGCGAGCTGGACTTGATGAGTGCAGCTCGCCCATGGGAGAGCTGGTCACAGGTGTGGTCAGCTCGCCGATGGGCGAGCTGGACTGATGTGTTCAGCTTGCCCACGGGCGAGCTGGTCCCATGTGTGTCCTAGCTTGCCCATTGGCTAGCTGGACGGTTGCTTGGCTTTGGTCTTTTCTTGTTTTCTCGACCCGGGACCTTTGAGGATGTAAGGAGACGTGTCCGTTGGCGTTAACTCCGATCTTTAACAATAGTTTTAACATCTCGGGTAGTTTGGGTGTCACGGCCGTCTTGGCCAATAAAACAATCACGAGGGCAGTTTTATTTGATTTCCTGACGGTTTCCAAGATGACAATTGTCGAGTTTTTAGGAATTTCTTTGTTCGGAGAATCCTTAGATTTATTCTTGACACTTTTTCGTGTTTAAATCTTTATTTTTAACTTCTGCGAGAAGTTTTTGTTGTTGATTCCATCGTAACCGATTTTGACCCCAACACCCATCTAAATTATATCAAGTGGTGGACAGAGGAGCCGATTCTCTGGGGAGTACCTCTGTCTGACCGGGTCCGATCTATATGGGAAAAGATATATCCTCTGATCCTTTCTTCTTTTGCTAGTGCGTCTGCTCGACATAGAAACCGACCTAGTTGAGAGTAAAGATTAGAGTTTCTAAGTGCAGAGAGTTCTGATTCTCCATGTTTTTTTTTGCCTCTTGCCTAAGACTCCTTATATACTCCCTCCTAGGTCGGTTTCTGCTTTTGCCCTTCTGACCTTAAGCCATCATAGCTCAAAAATAGAGATTTATCCGCAGAAAGTTGACATTTATCTTTTCTTGTCAACCAAGTCAAACCGCCATAGTGTTGATGGGATTTTGTTTAATAAATCGTAAGTGGGCTTCTAGTCGCGTTTTATGCCTCTTTGGGCGGTTATTCGACTTGAAACGTGTATTACGGTTTCTTTGATAAGAAAAAACTTTCCGCGGTTTTTATAATAAATTTTGAATGATGACTCCGATCGATAAGGAACAAGGAGTGGTTAAGCTGTATCTTACGGGAGATAACATTAAAGAGTAGACGAGAATGCGTGGATTCGTGCTGTATTGATGTTTGGGAGAATCCGCAGAATTCGTGCTGTATTGATGTTTGGAAAGTGACCAGTCCCTACGTAGCGACCGAGCTTGATGCGTGCTTGATCGCTACGTAGCGACCGAGCTTGAGGTGTGCTCAGTCGCTACGTCGCGACCGAGTTTGATGCATGCTCGGTCGGTACGTAGCGACCGAGCTTGATGCGTGCTCAGTCGCTGCATAGCGATCTAGCTTGATGTGTACTCGGTTGCTACGTAGAGACCGAGCTTGATGCGTACTTGTTCGAGGACTAGTCAATCCTTTTGATGAGCACTTCCTCACTTTTTCAATCGTACAGGGTCTTTTTATTTCTTTCGTACTTGGATACGAGTTTTTCATCACTTCGTACCTGTGTAGGAAGTCTCTAGTTTTCTCATATGATTTTTCCGGGACTTTTAGTCATTGATTCTCTTGTGACCGATTTTGACCCAATTTTTTTTCTTCTAGTGAATAAAATACGATTTATAATAAAATTATTACTTTACAAAACTTTACTACAATGTAACAATACGATTAACTACTAAAAGGCCCTGATCAAGCCAACAGACGTAGTCATTCCTGCATTTCGCGGCAAGGACGTAGAATACAACCAAAACAAAGTTGTTTAAGAACCAAAGAATATCGTTCTCCGATGCATTTGTAATGACCACATAATTATCTCAAATTCCACTTAAGCACCCGTTAAAACCACATAAGATTGGAAACACGGTCGACGTATGCATAAGACTTAATTTAAATGTTTATGTATGAAATGTGAATTAATCATGTGTTTGTGCATATTTTTGCACAGGTACAGATAGTATGAACTAATCGGGACAACAATCTTCTGTTGATCTATGGATCGGCTGATTTCCCAGTTAGGCAACAAAGCTGCTAAGCAAGATAGCTAAGGAGCTAGGTTGAACCGCTAGGAGGCTAAAAAGGCCTCCAAGATGTTATGTCTCTTTTGTGAGAGTAAATGCTATGGAATTGTGTTTCAAATCATAACAAGTGACTCAGAACATAAAAAGTGAGTGGAAACAAAAAGGAAAAAGAGACAAATAAATAATAAAGATAAAAATGTTTTTAAAAATCTGGCTATATAAATATACAAATATAAATAATTATTTCAATAAATAATAAAAATAAAAATATTTTTTATAGTTTTTCGAATTATACATTTTTTAAGTTCAAACTTTTTCTATTTTTCATTTAATTCTAAAATTGTTTTTGAAACTATTTTTAAAAATCATATTATGAATTTTAAGAATTTATTTCTGTATTAAACTTCTAAACCCCATCTTACAAAACTCACCCTTCAAAACAAAACCCTAAGTCTAGATTAGTTCACCCTAGTGATATAAGTTTATTTTTAACTCTTTAAAATAAAGAGTAAATGTAAGGTAAATATGAAAAGTGGTATTAGAAATGTGGTAGTTTAAGAAATTACTCATTAGGTCAAAATGAAAATAGAGTTTTAAAGAGATAAGTGACAATTATAATCCCATTTATAATTTCACTTAATTATTTATTAAATATATAAAATAAATAAATATTAACAATAAAAATTAATTTTTCAAATAAATTTTGAAAATTTTTTATTTTTTCTCAAAAAAGGTTTGAGAAAAATTTTTTTGCGAAAAGTATTTGAGAAGACATTTCTAAATATCTATGATATCTCACTGCTTTTGTAAAAAAAAAAACATCCTGAATTCAGAAATGCATTCATAAATGTGTGTTTAGACTTCTTGAAAAAAATTTGATATACTAAGGAAGGTCTTATTAAATGTGTATGACATTTTTCTGAATTTGATTTATATGAATATTAAAAAAATAGATATATACTATCTTTATAAAACTTAGATATCAAATTCAGAAAGTTCTTCCTATAATTTTAGTAAGATTTTCCTAAAATTATAGGAAGATGTTATACATATTCAATTATATCTTACAAAATATAAATATAATTGAAATTCAGTAAATTATTCGTAAATATATGTATTTATGAAAGTTTTCTTAACTATAAATTTAAGAACTTATTTTTAAATACAGATTTATGAAAATTCTCCTAAATGTTATGAAGATATTTTACATATGGACAATTTTCTCAAATAGACATTAAGTTTTTGCCACAAAAATAGAACTCAAAAACTAAAATGACCAAAAAATTATGTTTTATTTTTAAAATTTTAAATTATTTTATTTTTTAAAATTTGAAATCTTATCCTCAAAATCTCACTCCTCAACTCTAAACCCTAAAACCTAAACTCTAAACCCTAAACTGCACCCCTAAACCGCACCCTTAAACCGCACCATTTAACTCTAAATCCAAATGTCTAGATTAATTAACCCTAATGGTATAAGTATATATTTAATTATTTTGAAATAATATTTAAGTCTATTTTGGTCATTTTATTTTTAAGATCAATATTTGTAACAAAAACAAATTTAGGTTTATCCTGGGAAATTTTTCTTTACATATTTATCAACAATTACCTAAATTTCAAGAAGATATTATACTTATTCAGTAATATTTTCTTAAATATGCATAAAACTCAAACTCAGAAATATATCTTACATATTCGAGAAGGTCTTCATAAACTTTTTTTAAAGAAAATCGTTTCGTTAAAATAAAAATTTAAACAAAATATCTAAAACTAAAAAATTTTAAGAAGATATTGAGAAAATGTATAATTCTTTTATATTTAAATATTTATTTATTTAATAGTTCTATAGGAAAATATGTAACCATAATTTATCTCTTGAAAACTATTTTGGTCTCTTTAAATCTTATGGACTAGTTTCAGAACTAAAGCGTGTTTTGAAACTATTTGAGGTTATTTTTCTAAAATCATAGTAACTAGAAGTAAAGAATAATTGATATTTTTGTCGCACATATATTTCTTAATTTCAGTGTACGTTTAAAATAATAGTATATTCGTAAATACATTTTTCGTTTAAAAATGTTGAAGACTAGTTTAGTTTTTATGAAAATTGACGTTTTTTAGTCAAAATCACTTTCTAAGATTATAAGAAAATTTCCTATGAATATAATTATTGATTTCTTTTTAGGAGAATATTCTTATCGTACAAGTCACGGACATAACTATTTACTATCTTTGAAATTCTTCTAATATTGGCGAAAAAAATTCTTCATCGCTCAAATCAACTTCTATTCTTGATTTTGTTTTGCCTAAAGCGTTGTACGTTGATTAATCTATATAAATACTCTTTGTTTCGGATGTTATTTCCTATCAAAAATTAGAGAATAAAATAAAAAGCAGAGAAAACAAGAATGGCTGCAAATTTAAGGAAAAATGCGTTCTTGTCTTCTTTCATGTTTCTTCTCTTAAACGGTTCCTCGTACGCAATCACAAGTTCAGAGATGAGCACAGTATGTGACAAAACTTTAGACCCATCTTTCTGTCTTGACTTCCTCAATTCAGAATTCTCATCTCCTAATCTTCAAGCCTTGGCGAAAGCCACACTTGATGCCACACATGCAAGAGCAACACAAACATTCAAAAGACTCCAATCTATTATCGATGGAGGAGTCGACCCACGATCGAAACTAGCTTACAGATCATGCTTAGATGAATATGAGAATGCAATTGGAAACCTCGAGGAAGCTTTTGAGCATTTAGCTTCTGGCGAGGGTGAGGGTCTGAACACTAAAGTTTCTGCTGCATTAGATGGAGCTGATACATGTCTAGATTATGTGAAGAGATTGAGATCTGTAGATGATTTTGTTTTAAATAACAGTAAGGGAATTAAGAATCTTTGTGGTATTGCTCTTGTTATCTCTAACACCCTACCACGAAAATATTAATTTGGAACAATCATCATGTGTTTGCACTGATTAAGTTGTATTGTTGGTAAAAGGATAAATATTATTATACTGAATATTAAAAGAAGTAAGCTTACGCTTTTTCATTTCATCATTTGCATTTTC